GGGGGGGGGGGGGGTATTTGATGTTCCGTTTAGGGTCAAATCGACTGTTTATGACCTTTACTTACTGGCGAAAAAAACAAAAGGGGCCGAAAACCGGCCTTAGAGGCCCTCCTCCTTTCTTTACACGAAAAAATAATTAGAGTTTCAAACCAAGTCCATTTTATAGAATATCTGCGTTAAAATGGGGGAAAGTCTGTTATTTGTGCATTGATTCATATTTAGACAAACTGTATAATAAAATCTATAAAAATGTATTGCTGGTTGCCTATTTGCTATAGAGCCCTCTTAAATAAGAGAAAAATTTATACAAAACTTCTATCAATATTAGGCAGTGAATATATTAAAGTAATTTCCATAAAAAAAATTAGATGATTCACTCAAAGACCTCAACAAATCACACTCACCTTCTAACAAAAGTTGCCTGTAATAATCCTCAGACTTCTGTATCTCGTTATGGCTGCTGGACTTCTGAAGATCGTTCGCTTTCTGCTTCTCACTATTCCTCGGCTCCCTGCTGGGTTTGGACGGAGGTTTCTTCTTCTCCCGCTTTTCCTTGTTCAAGTTCTCCACCCCGTTCAGCATGAACCTGTCGTCCTGCACCACCTCTATATCCCTCCTCTCCAACAGATCGCTGATGTTCTGCTCTATTTTCCTCAACGGCGAAATTTCCACACTGGGCAGCGAACTATCCATTTCTTCTTCCTCCTCTACGGTAACGTCCAGCTCTCTTCGTGGCGTAACCTCCTCCGCGTTCAAACTAGGCAGGGAAACGACTCTAACTATGGGCGAAGTGGAGGTGCAGAGGTCCGTCGTCGACTCGACCGGTGCATCGAAGTCCTCTATGACTCCTTGCCTAACTAACGACTTTATGTTGTCGAACGTAGTGCTGTGCTTCTTCATGTCGCTACTGTGCTTGCTGGGCGTGCTCGATCTAGAGCTGGAAAGGTCTATGCTCAACCTGGATGCTGAACTGCTGAACTCATGGCTCAGTATCCGGGAATTGTTTAGGTCTAGACTGTAACGGGATTTGGGGGAATTTAGTTCCTGGCTGAGTCTCGAGTGGGGGGTGCTTAGGTCTACGCTGTACCGGGAATTCGGGGTTTGCAGTTCCCGGCTCAGCTGAGAGTTCAAGTCCGCGCTAAATCTACTGGTTGGTATGCTCAGTTCTGAACTCAGTCGTGAGTTCAGGGAGGAATTGGAGGTGACGGAGCTGCCTAGGTTGACCAGGATCTTCCTGTCTCTTCTACCTGCAAATTTAACATATGACTCACAACTTATCCAAAAAAATTTGCGAATAGATGTGTCATGAAAAATGGAGCCGTATCGCAAAAAAAATTTGTAAAATACTTGTAGTTTCCGAGAAAAAAAATTATCGAAGCTGTAGTATGTTCAACCTTTACATTGCTGGGCTACTGTAGCCTCTACTATCCAACTATTATTATCATTGTTGCGATAGTGTTTACATTAGTTTTTCAAGTGTCAAAAATAGCTTACGTGTATAACAACTCGAAGTTGATGGATATCGTTTTAATTTATGGTCAAGCAAGACAAAATCCGTGTTAGTTCGTAGAAACTGGGCAAGACAGGCTCCAAATGTGTTTACATGTCGGTGGACAAAGCTTTGAACAGTTGTTGTACCATCAAGTATGTCAAATTAGGCAATTTCGAATACTGAAATCCGACTACTATTATGGTTGTTGCGATAGTGTTTACATTAGTTTTTCAAGTGTCAAAAATAGCTTAAGTGTATAGCAACTGGTAGTTGATGGACATTGTTTTAATTTATGGTCAAGCAAGACAACATTTGTGTTGAACCTGGGTAAGACAGGCCCAAATGTGTTTACACGTATGTCAAATTATTTTGTTAACTAAAACCACAAACTAATTTTATTAATTAATAATAATAATAGCGGAAAAAGCAATTGAATTTGCTGATATAAAATAGGTGTGTTATAAAATCTTATTTATTTCTTTCCTTGGAAAAGAAATTCTTTAAATTTTTTTGTCCGTTCGTTTTTTATTATACTTTGCCGCCATGCCGGTCGCTGACTGCATATTTTGCCTTGAATAAGGTTAGGTTTCCAGTGCCATGCAGAAGTGTATTTTTTTAAATCATTTTCGAATTGCCCTTTCTGATTTTTTTTACAAAATTGTATTTGTAAGAGTCCCCTGTATATTAATTTTTTTTTTTTTGGGTAAGTTCTGAATCACCGTGGATATAATTATGTATGATATGTGTTAAATTATAATTTAAATGAGGTTAAGCGGCAGAGTAATGGATTATGGATTATGGTGTAGTGTTTGATAAAGAAAAAGGGAAAAAAGGACCCAAACTTCACGCTTTTGGCTGTATTCCTCACTGCTAATGTTGCCAGTTGCTTTTATATCAACTACATTGTGACAGGAAGTTATGGAAAATAATTTAGCAAATTAGATTGTTTTTGCATAATTTAGGGATGTGTTACTTTAAAGTCACCATATTTCTTTAATATCACTATGGTTAAAGACCCGAACTTTTAAAAAAATTCTAATATTTCTAAAAAAAAACAAAGTTTTACATGATTTATTAAATCTTAACTAATATTGGTACGTAGATACGTAACTAACTGTAAATAATTTTTTTAAATCAACTGCTACACTTGAAACTAATGAAAAATAATTTGGAGAACATATTGCTTTTCTATGACGTGTTATTTTAAAGTCACCACATTTTTTTTATGTCAATGTCAACATTGATCTACTTTAGCTGAACTTCGCTTTAAGAATCGAGTGCCGCCAATGTTGCATGTGTTATGAATTGAAGAGATGTAAATGCGTTAAAAACAAACCACTACATTAATTTATCGAAACGGGATTGGTCGAATATATCGTCTGATACATTTTTATTTTAGTCATCGACTTTATCGTTTCGCGAAAGGTTGTTCGTATGGCGCCTTTGCGTGGTGGAAGTGTACAATCTTATAAAGTAATTTACATATTTCAGTATCAATCAAGAAAGAATCGACATAATTAGAGCTTGCTTTTTGTCCAGAGAAAACGATCCTGCTGCAAGAAAATGATATCAGATGGATTCTGCCAAAGAGCAACACCTCACGGCGGGTGGTGTGAAAATAGTGTTTTAATAGTCTTTCCTTCAAATTGTGAGATTTGACAATAATGCACAGCCCAGTTTTCAATTATACTTCGCTGCAACTAATACCTGCCGTTGTTTGAGATCACACTAGCTTGTGCGGGGTAGGAAAATGATAAAAAAAGGGTTTAAAAGAAAATTAAGTTATCGGAATTTGAAAAAAACTATTGATGCGTGTTTCTTAGGTCAAAGGTAATTTCTGTATAAATATTATGTATTTACCTTCATCTACTTACCTCTTCTAATGATATAAGTGCTGTTTCCGGATATATTAGCAGAATTCAGTTCTGGGGGTAGAATTAAGTGATCGTCGGAATCCGAAAACGGGGAGGTGACCTCGTCTTCAGTTGTACAAGGCGGAGGGTCAGGCCAGTCCTCCAGTTCTTTCAGTCTGTTAGGTATCGAACTGGTGCTGGAATACGAGCCGGATTTTCTTCTTCGCCTGCCTATCACTTTGGTACTACCTGCGAGAGTAGAAATTTAAAAAATCACCCGATCCAAATATTTTTTTTCAAGGTCGTACCTGGTGTAAGGAGAGCGTCATCGTCTAAGGGTACTTCCCAAGCTATGCTGACCCGTTTGTTACAAACCGGCGGGGGCGGTGGGGGTAATATTTCTTCCAGGGAATCATCCGAGAAATGTTCATCGTCGGCTAGCTCACTCAGGGGTCTTAAGGCTGGGGTGTCGTCAAGGTCACTGGAGAGATTGTCTTCGCTTCCATGTCTGAAATGAAAATTTATAATTTTTTTCCAATCTAACTGGTAAATTCTTACGTTTGATATACACAGGCTTACCTTTTCACCTCCCTGTGGCGTTCCAGGGCCGTAGGAACGGTCCTAGGAGGCATCCTGGTGGGGGACGTAATGGAGTAGACACCGTGCTGGTAAGGCAGGCTGCCGAACCTGTAACCTGGAGGTGGCGGTGGGGGATGCAGCTGAAACTCGTTGTTCTCCCAGCCGTACGGCCTCTGGTGTTTGGTTTTAGGCTGAAAGTGTAGTAGGAATCAAAGAAAATAGGGCGGCATCGTCGAATGTGCTATTTTCAAGGAATATTCCGTTTTTAGATGCTCAAACAATGATATTTTTGTGGGTTTTTAATCGACGTACCAACGTAGTTTGCGTGGCAGTGTGAATGGGGTCCGGCAGGCCGTTGATGAGGAGGAGGCAGTCGTTTTGGAACCTCTGCGGGGGCGGGATTGTGTCCATACGGGCAGGCAGCTGTGTCAAAGGGAAGGAACGGTTGCGACCGGTGCTGCCGATGGGTTTCGGCCGGTGGGCGGGAGATACCCTGAAAAACGCAGAAATTAATTAATATCAAATTTTTCAATATTCAAAATTTTTTGAAAAATTTTTGAAAAATTTGATTTTTTCAAAATTTAGATTTTTTTTTTTGATATGTGATGAGTATTTAACGCGAAATTGTGATAAAAATATGGCAAAAAAATTTATTTTATCTTAATATTAATTGATGTTTAAGGAGCAATAAATCTGCTCCTTTAATTTTTTATAAAACTTTGACGATTCAGGAAAAGAAAACGGTTTGACCGAACGATTTCAAAATTTACAGGCCTCATGGGCATGTATCGGGCTAAAAAAAATCTACAAACATTGGTACTTTTCGCAATATTTGCAAAGTAGTCCTTGATTTTCCAAAACAACAGAAAAAGTCATTTTTTGCACTTTTTCAAATTAATCTAGAGTATAAAAAAAATTCTCAAACATACCAAAAGACCCTTGAAGAGGATTGATTCAGGTTTCTAAAACCCACCTTCTATTTGATGTACGATCATTAATTAGTTCATGAGATGTCGATGATAAAAAAAGGGTGACTTTTTCACTCAATATTTCAATGAAAAATAATCATAGACAAAATTAAAAAAAAATCAAATTGAAGCCGATGAATCAGGATAAATGATCCTACCATTGATTAAGCCAGAAAAAATTAATTTTTCTGAGCCCATGTGCAGTTTTGAAAAAAAATTGTAAATTTTTGACTTGCATTATTTCGTTTCATTCACCAAAAAAAAATTTCAAAACTAGAATTTTCAAGCTTCAACATTGTTTTTTCTCTATACGACCATTATTTATGAAGTTATAGCCTTTCAAAAATCATTAAAAAAAATTTGGAAATTTAATGTTTTTGCTGTGTATATTTGGAAAACTTTAACGTATTTCCGCCAGTCTTCTTATTTCCAAACTTTTTCAAATATTTGAAGAAATTCCAACTTTTTTTTCGAAACTTCTTTTAAGTATACAATTTTGTTTTCCAAGTATTTGTACGTAAATTTTTAAGAATATCAGGATATCTCGGACTTGGATTTACTACAATACATTGTTCAGAAAATTAAAATAAAAAAATTAAACTTTTTATTTCGCAACTAAAAATTCTGACCAAAAATCTCTTGGGCCATACTCAACTAACAAAAATTTTTATGATGAGCTTGAAAAGAGGGTATACAAAAATTCTTGTCTAGAAAATGTTGGAGCAACTCTTTCAATTAAATTTTTAAAATTTCTCGCACAATTGATGGTTTAATTTCGTCACATCGCGTCAAAAACGTTTTTTTTTTTTAATTTCACAAATTGCCTCAACTAGCAACGTCCTTAGCCTACTTTAAATAACTGTTCCAATAAACGCAATAAAGGCGTAATGCAGCCATCCAAGTATTGCACTGCTATTGTAATATTTTGTTTCAAAGGAAATTAAATACATTTCGCAATAAAATAGCTCGAGGTTACCAGAACGGGACGACCTCGACAGATCTTTTATTTTAATGATACTAATGGATGTAACCTTACATATTCATAATTATTATCTGTAAAGGAAACTGCACTTTTCTCATAGCGGATAGTAGTCGATGGGCGGTTCTTATTACGAATTACATATTTCCGTTCGGCAATAAAAATAAAACACAAAAAATATAGATAAGTACATGAAACATAATTTTGTGAGTTATAAATAATCATATAAATAAACAATAGTAATCTATACGTGTTGTAGTAGTAGCAGAAATAGGTTTAATTTGTGGTCAAGCCCTCTGCCGCTCTATGCTCACAATACACAATGCTACTGACTGCCATAAAAACACGTGCCATACACTCGACCAAGCACAGCGTCACTCACTCACACAGGCACAAACGACAATGAAATACACGGCCAACGGCCCTCAGTAAAAGCTTGGATTGTTTACGGGCATGCTACGCTGGCAGGGCAAGCATTACAGTGCCGCTAGATACGTATCGAATAAATTGATCGATGAGAAGCTTCAAAACAGAGACAGACATGTTATTGGAATTACTAAAATGTGAACTAGTTGATGCCACACCACCATCCTTAGCCTTGGATGACTCGGTGGGAAAGGGAAGAACATTACGATTACACAGGGTGTCCCAAAAAGGCTCGACCCCCCCAGATTTTCTGGATCGAGTTTTATAAAAAAAAAAGAGATCTGACAACCCTATGCTCTATGGATTACTGACATAAAATGTCCCATTTAAAATTTTCGAATTGACCTCGGTGTTTGACCTAGATATTTAAGGTCAAGGTCAAACATAATCCATTGTTTTCTACAACTTGGCCCAAGTTATCGGAGAGTTCGGATCTTTTTGACACACCCTATATATCAAAAGATTTATATTTTTGCTTCTTTATGCGAATAATCGACATTTTTCGAAAAGGTACAACAAACGGGCTCTTCCAAGCGACTTACTTCGGCAGCAGCGTAGCGATAAGCCTCTGCGCCTCCTCCGGCGGCGGCGGGAAGTCGTCCGGGTCCCCGGGTCGCACCCCGGGCGAGCCCAGCTGCTGGACCACCCCTTCGTGGTGGACGGGCACCTCGGCCAGCGGCTTGAAGGCCAGACTGAACTTGGGCTGCTTGCGGCCGTTCATGCTCATGTAGCCATCGTCCTCGGACTGGTGGCCCAGAGAGGGGCTCTCGTCGTCGGGGGTAGACGTCGGCACGCTGTTGGGGGCGCCGGTAACGGGGTTGGTGCTGGGGCCCCGCAGCTGCGGGGTGGACGACGACGTGGTGATCTGCTGAATCTGGAAGGGAGAATTAAGTTTTTTAGTATAGGGTGCTGTTCTTTTGAGCGTTCTGTCGGAAAAACAATGGGGTTAGTTTCTTTCGACTGAAAGGAAATTAATTTAACAAAATAAATGATACTACAAGAGTCTTAGTCGTACTCCAAAAAGAGGCAAAATCAAAAAAATTGAATGAACATAGTGTTCTCGTCTTCTTTTAATATTGTTCTTGGTCGTCGTCATTGTGTGCTATCATCCTTAATCGTCCCTATCCTTAAGGAGGTATATCGGGTTTACTAAAATGCACAGATGTACTTGAAATTTATATAGCATATTACCCAGTGCTCCCTCTATGCGTCATATTTTTTTGACATTGTTTTTAATCTAGATTTTGAGATATTGTTGTTGAAAGTTGTTCATTTTAACATTGGTTTATATGGCAAAGATGGGCGGTGCGGCTCTTTTTTGCCCATAACTGAGAAAAAAATGTAGAAAACTTTTCGATAGATAGTACACAGTATCTTATTTTTGATGTAAAACTAATGTAAGTTTTGAACATAGTACAGCTGTATTAATTAGAAACAGAAACCAATAATTGCATTTCTGTCTGACTTAAGGATTAATGTGGCAACGTCGCAATCAGCTGACAGCAAGGAGGGAATACATTTGAAAGACTTGATAAAAACGAAATTGATTTCAAACATATACATTTTTCCTAAATCCCATGTACATTGTTATCAACAATAAATTATCCACAACAGATTATTTTTTGTAATGTTTTTAAAAAACTACATTAATTAAAAAAGGCTAGGAAGCTGTGATATATTTATTGGAATAAAAAATACAGTTGATAAATCCTTTTAATATATTTAATGGTTTATAAAAACATCGTAATCCGTACCCAGCAATATTTAGGGTTACATAAAGTTTTCTTTACTTGATTAATATAATTAGTAATACTTGAGATAAAAGCATTTACACAGAATAACAAAGGAACATAAATATTTCTCAGCAAACTTTATATCTAAAAAATTAGTTATAGTTACATAAGGTTTCAAATTGTTTCGAATCAAATGCGATTGCGTCGGACTGTTGGAAACTAATTCTAATGCACTTGGAACAAAGCTAATGTAATTTCTATCACAGAACCTTCAAAATTGCATCCAACATTTTCTTTGACTTGGACGAGAGATGGGCGCGAGTGTCATTTCATTTCTTTAGAACTAAATTATCATAATTATTTTCTCGTTGGTTTACCAGTTCACATGATTTATGGATTTTAAATAAAGGATACAAATCTTCGGGAGGATAATCCGATATATTTGCTATATATAATAATTATATTTTACATAGTTTACACACCACAATACATTTTGAACAACAATGTGAAAACTAATAATTTTTTTTTTTATTATCATACTTGTTTGACACGTGAATAAAATGTAACTTTTAATATATTTTTTGCATTTTTAGGCGTTTAGGGGATGATTTCACCCCTATAGGGATATTATGGGTTGATTTTACAACTGTTGATGATTCTTAATTTGTTCACTTTTTTGTCTTTTCAACCCCTAAATAAGGGTGATTTTCGAAAATTTTTTTTATGAATTACCTACTATAACTATTTTGGTCTCCCCTGTATATCCCTTCATTTCTGACATGACCTTTCCGGACAACCTGTATATTAATTTTTTTTTTTTTAATTTTGGCTTTATTGATCTTCTGTAATTATAATCATAACCAAACCATGTATCAACACAGGCTTTTATATTTCGTATCTTTAAATTTATTACACGCTATTCGGAAACTACAAATTATGTATAATTATATTCGGAGCCAATCGATAACACTGCTAAATATTTCATGGATGATTCATTCGCCCGTGGCGTACCTACCCAATCTTTTTTACGTCATAACGCGACTATAATAGGGCCAGTCAAAGTTTCAGGTGCACGATAGAAACCCCAAGACAAATATACGATTCCTATTGAACCTAATTAAATTACGCTTTGGAGAATCAGACGCCTAAACTGTTTCGTTAATGGCACAAAGTTTTCTATAAATCAAATTAGCGGAGTGAACGTTCGGTACCGAGTTCTAGATACGTCTCGCTTTCTATCGGAGCGGCATTTGTCACTGTCAATTAGACTGGCCCGGCCCTGTAGCTGAAAGAAAGTACGGGGTGTTGCATTATCCCACCGATGAAATTGTACAGATGTGATTTATACAGGGTCGCTGATTTGTATGGAAACGGTCTGTTAACTCCTAAAGTAAGATAGCTATCGAAAAATCATAAAACACAAACGTTTTAGAGGTTTTTAAAATCTATTACAATAAAGAAAAACTAAGGATACAGGATCAGTGAAAAAGTCAGGTCGGAACAAAGTTGCTTTTTCTTTAGAACTCCCTGTATATTGTTCTATATTTCAATTCTTCACGAAATCCCAAACAAACTTCTATAGCACATCATGTACCTAACTGTTTTCGAGATATCGAACTTTGAAAGTAACTTTTTACTATTCTACAGGGTGTTTCTTAATAACGTGCTAATATTTAAGGTTATTCGTGGGTCCATTAAAAAAAAACTTCATATGAACATATGTCCTAAAAGTCTTAACTTTTGAACTACAGGGTGCTAAAGTTTTATGAAAAAACTTTTTTTTATGATAATTTTCTGATGTACAATTTTATTATTTTTGTCAGTGGCGTCTGTACAGGTTTTGTATTGAATATTTTTGAAGAAAAATATGTTACGCCACTGCTTTTTCTTAAATAATTTTGAAATCCTCATTCCTTTCTGAGCAATTGTGGTATCTTGAACTTTTTTCGTTTGACGTACGGTTTTCGCATAAAAAAATAAAATTCATTCATTTGCATCTTATTGGACCACATACGAGAAAAAAAAAAGATTTATGTAACTTTGAACAATAATTTATTTAAGACTAGCGGCTCGTCCTGGATTCGCACGGGTGGACATTTATTTTAAACAATTTGGGAAATAAAATATATAGCCTATGTTACTCAGGGATAATGTAGCATTCTAATGGTGAAAGAATTATCGAAATCCGTCCAGTAGTTTTTGAGTTTATTCGTAACAAACATACATACATACAAAAATACAAATCTTTCCTCTTTATAATATTAGTATAGATGGTATAGATATAGAAGTATAGATAATAACTTTTAAACGTTGAAATTATGAAATTTCAGTAATCTACATACATTTTGGAATGGTACAAGAAAATTACCCTGGCGTAACATATTTTTCTTCAAAAATATTCAATACAAAACCTGTACAGACGCCACTGGCAAAAATAATAAAATTGTTTGTACATTAGAAAATGCATCTCGATAAATAGAAGGCGTGTACCAAATTTGAAAAAATATCTAGGGTAATACCAAAGTTATCATTAAAAAAATGATTTTTCATAAAACTTTAGCACCCTGTTGTTCAAAAGTTAAAACTTTTAGGACATATGTTCATATGAAGTTTTTTTGTTAAAATGGACCCAAGAATAATCTCCTTAAATATTAGCACGTTATTAAAAAACACCCTGTATATTATATAAAAGAAAAAGCGTCCCAAATTATGAATATTTATTATGAAAATTACATAAATATATGGACGTTATTACTTACAAATGGATCTGCCACAATCCATGTGTTATGTTTTTTTGTTTTAAACAACTTTTTTAAAACTATTTTGCCATTTTGCCACATTCAGATCACGTGGTCTACAACGTAAATCATTATCTTGAAGAATTCATTGAAGTCTAAAATATACATTGAATATTTATTTTACTTTTAATATTCTTATAAAAATTAAAAAAGACAACTTTCTCTAGCAATACAATTCACTAAATAAAATATGGTAGAATTGAATGCAACAGTCTTTTAACTATTATAAAATGCAGTACTTACGTGTAATGTTGATATTATAACATTCAATAATATTTTAGACATAGTTTACGCAATAACTGTAACAGTTAATTTTAAAATAATATTTTATACCTCTTCTGAGCACGGCAAATAGAGCACTGATCACTTTTTTCAAACAAATAATTAACTTTTGTTTTTAAATACGTAAAACGGCCTTCTTACTTATCAAAATGTCAAAGGCATAATGAAATTACAAAAGAAAACGTGAAAAGTCAATAAAAATATATTTTTCGACTTCTGGCGATGATTTTCACAGAATTTTGCTTCCATAGAGCGGAAAAAATAAGTTGATTAAAAAAAAGTATCGGTTTTACCATAAGAGCTGCGGAGCTGCAGAACACATAAAATTTTATGTATTTAATCATATTAAATATCAACAAAATATTTAAAGAATCCAAACGTACTAGCGCTAAAATAAATCTAGGAGCTTATATTATTATTTATTGCGACGGCGACGTGAGCTACGCTCCTTAATATATGCAACCTCATATGCAAAATGTGTGGACAGCGAATAGTTAGATGCGTCCTTTGTTTTTATTGGCTAATCAGGCACGTGACCCAGTACACTTTTATATGGGCTTTTGTGGCTGCAACAACGACAGCCACTGCTGCAGTAAATGCAGTAATATTTCGTACGTGGTATGTGGTGGTTTATTTCTGCGAGCGACATGTGTGAATATTTTCGTTTAGGCATCTACGGATATTATAGTTATTAAAATGAATAGCGTTTCGTTTAAAAAAAAACTTTATTTGGTTCTCTGCCTTATGAGATAAACTAAAAATAAAAGAATTAGGTGGGCCAACACCACAATTAAATTTTGAAGTTAGTGGAACAAGCCGAAGGAAAAGTTATAAAAGACAATTTAACAATAATGTATACACAAAAGCAGAGTGGGTGTGCGGGTGTGATATAAAAAATACACTGTTTTGTTTTCCGTGCTTACTTTTCGATGGGGATAAAGCATGGACGATATACAGTGTGAAAGATTTAAGTCATTTATAAAAAATCGTTATGTATTATCTAAAATCATAGATTGCATAAAATTTTGCGGAGCTTTCGAATTAGCACTTCGCGGACACGACGAGAAAAAACATTCGGACAACCCTGATGTGTTTCGTGGACTCATAAATTTTAATGCAGATCTTGACGACATATTAAAAGGACATCTATAGTCACATGGGTATGACCGGGATTTTCTGTGATTGTACCGGGAATTACCTGTATGGTCCCGGATTTCAGATTTGCAACTCCCGGAATATAATATAATGTACATATATATAAAAAAAGATAAAGAAAAAATCATAACACTGCGAGGAAAATTAAAATTCGTTGAATCCTTGGTAAATTTCACAAACGATTTTTTTGTTTATAAACAATATTCAATAATGTAATAAAATAATAATGTAATAAAATATATTTAGTTTATTCCAATTTATTTATACCGTCAGTAGGTAATTCGTGAATAGATGTTTCAAAAAGGTATCAATTTCAAAAATCGTTCTTGTGAAAATCTGTATTTTTGTATAAATGGATTGTTCCTTGAAATTCAGAAGTGCCAGGAAAACGAGTGACCTTGAAAATTTTAAAATTTTTCGCCTGCGGCGCCATTTAGAGACTCCGGGCACTTAATATCCCGGAATTCAATTCAACAAATGCCGGATTGAGACGCTTTTTTATCATGTTTTTTAAGCACTATTTGATGCAATTTATTTGAACTCTATATTAAAAAATTGCCGAGATCTCTAGTTACCGTTTTTTTTTTGATATTTTATTAATAACTTTTTTATCTTGTAACTTAAAAATCTGAAATTTACATAAACGCGAGATAATGTAATTACCTCTCGATCTTTTTTTTTTACGGAATTTCAATATCTTGATTTGGGCAGAAGATATACGCGCTCGCGTTTTCGACTTTATAATTTACAATAGCACCCCAGCAGTTATCTTTTCCTGTAGTTTCATCCAATTTCAGTCAAATTTGTTCTTTTCATTTAATTCTGAAAATTTTGCAATTTTTTTTTTCACTGCTAATTTTGCAATGCAAAAGAAAATTGCTAGTTTTCGCAAAGGCCTATACTTGTAGCAAATTTCCTCAGAAACAAAATCGATAACGCTGAACGGCGCCAACCACAATGCCTAATTGTTAATTTTATTTTTTCTGTATCTTAATTAAAGACATTTATTATTATTATTGTTATTATTATTATAAATATAGCTCATGTCGATTAGAGGCTTATTTTCGGAGATATAAGCGAAAAACTGAAAAAAGAGCAATTGTATTCTTTTATTATAAACAATATGACAATCGACTTCTACAAATACACAAATTTAGACTTTTATTCAGTGTATTTTTTACTTATAATTAATTTTAAGCGGATAAAATTCAACTTCGGCCCGATTTTTGAAACAGGCATATCTTTGGTCTAATTCGTCCGGACTATTGCGTCACTTTCGCCAGTAAGCTAATGAGTGATGTCATTGGTATTATAAATCGAATAACGTCGACGTCAATCACTGTTACTGTTTGCTAATAAATTTACTAAATTTCAGTTTTGATTCGTATTTTTCGAATTTCTCGGTCTTGTGTGTCGTAGGAGTTATTGTTCTTGGGTTTTATTTTACTGTTAGTCTGTTATTTAAGTACTATTGAGCTCACAAACTTTTATCTGGGGGCCCAATTTCTAGTGTGGATATTTGTAAAAGTAACGTAAAGTATACATTATTTTTCAGTATTCCAGTGTTAATTTTTTCTAGTTTTATTAGAATTTGAATGAAAAATATTTTAATATTTCTGTGGATTCGCTACAGGGCCCACTTTATCATTGCGAACACTTGCAACAACCTGTTTAGCGTGTGCTTTGCGGTGTGAGACTTTTCAAGTCCTCAACGATTTCTCGTCCTACTTGCCAGTTCGGAACGTTTTAAAGGAACTCGGCTAACCTTCGGAGAGGCGAAAAGGGAAAGATACCGGCAAAAAAATTAATATATCATGCCCCGTTGTAGGTATATTAAATCCAACTTTCCGAGCAATAAATCCGAGACCTTGAGTCTTGGATATAATGCCCTTTTCTTTCGCAGCCGCCCAGCGGGTCGATACTCACATTTTGGACCTGATTCGCATTTTCCACATCATCGAATTCCGAAAGCACGCGGTCTAGGAGCTCGATGGAACGTTGGACGTCGTCGCCGCCACTGCAACAAAGAAAAAACACACCGTTACCTTTTTTTTATTTAAAGTTGGATCAAAGAGAAAGCAGTTAGTTCGTTGGGCAAAAAGTTAGTTACATTGTATTGAGAAATGCTGCGTGGGTGGTCTAAAGGTTCTAAACAGGGTGTGTACAAAAAGTCTACATTTGTTCCTCCTAGAAACCAGCGTTCCATTGTACCGCAAATCTACGTTCCTTTGAATAGTTGTTACGATGTCAATTGGAACCTGTAAATCTTAAAGCACAGGACCGTATGCACTTCTCCTGAAATTTCTTCTTATGTTTTGACCATGAAGTGTCTCGTAATTTATACTCGAATAGCAATTCGGCGAGTCCGGTATTGATAAACTAGTCCGCCTGATGTAGAATTGACGGCGGCGCGCTGGTCATCAAAGCAAACCTGTATTGGTCCACTAGGTCGTAAATAACTTTTTTGTATGGTACACGGGTTCACTTAGCTTTGCCGCTTTGACAGTGCCGTGCAGAGTATTGCTTGGCGGGGTATGTTGTTGGTATAATACGTATTATTATTTATTACTTGATATTATTATTTGTTCATATCGTAACCAGTAAAGGGTAATAGTTATTAAAATAAATGTTGTATGTAATTATCTAGTAATTTAGCGTGGCTCTCTGGAGACTTTTTGAAGCGGAGGATAAAGAAATAACTCGGGAAAACCCCCAAATAGTGGAACCGGTTTTGTCGAAAGTATCGAAACAAACTCAGAGTTTAAAAACAAAGATTTACGCGTAAAAAGTCAACGTATTATATTAAATATATATGTTTGAAAATTGAAAATAGTGAACAATGTGATAAAAAAGTTAGGAAACGTATTAACGAATTAACTAAGATATCCAAAAAAGCCAATTTATCGCGTAATTAATGAAACATTGATCACGGTATAAAAAGGAAACGGAAAAATACAAAATTAAAGAAAATTAACGATTTTACCAGATGTAATGCGGCGCACAATTTACAATATGTATAAAAAAAATAAAGTTCCTACTTTAAACATGATTCGAGATAAATTAAGCGGTTATATTGATTATAATTATAAATCTTTAGATATTTTACAACATGCTTTATTACAATGCGATTTTAAACATAAAAAAGTTGACAATTGGTAATTATATGGTAATATAGCTCGGAATATAGTATATCTAGACGAGACAGGGCTAAATTTTCTGGACGTCTATGGATTCCATAGAATTTATGAGTTAAATGTTTTTATGTGGTTCCCATTGAGATCGTAATAACTATACCAAAAGAATGTATTTAGAGTTTCCTAACTTAATTCCTAATTCCTAGCTTAATTTCATTGAAAGAATCAAGTGAGTATTTTTAATGAAACTTGTTTTTAATTTTCGACCATTGTTAAGATGTAAGATTCTATCCCGGTTCTTTAACTATGTATGAAAAGCAATATAACAATTTCTTCGAGATCAGAGGTCGTTCTACTTTGAGCTTGTGCTGAGAAATAATGCAAATATTTGGAGTAAAGTGAGAGAATACGGAGTAAAGATAAAGTGAAGCTGTTTATGAATAATTGCTTTCATACAAATAATATTTTTAAAACAAATCAATAGCAGGTTCGAGGGGTGAACGAAATGACGTCCGGACAAAATTTGGTGCGTTTCTAACATGGATGGAGCAATTTCAACTAGCGGAAAAGACGATTATTCCCAGCATCATCATCTTGCGTCACATTCAGCAGTTTTCTGGACCCCTCTTGGGGGATTATATCGTTTCAATTATATTTCCTTTTTCAAATGTTATGCCGTTGTAAATGGGGAAGAATAAGGATATTACGTTTTATTTATCTGTGACAAAATGACAATACAAATATATTTTTTATATAATAAGTTTAAATATTAGTCGGTATTTGATCAAGTTTGAAGTGCAAAATTTTATGCATGTAGCTAGTTCTTTGCTAGTAGATGAGGACAAAAATTGTTCTGCACCGGAGCAGATCGGGAAAATTAGGGAAATGGTCGGAAAACTGCAAAAAAAACTTATTTCACAAATATGCAAAGAACCAAAGTTGTACAGCATGAAATTCTCTATAAAAAGGTATGTATATTTTTAAGTAAACTGAATTGTGTCCCATAATTTTAATTTTTTGTTTAGAAAATTTGGGATCAACGTGAAATAATATAAAGAGACAAGAGATTCGTAGAAAATTAAGGATTTATTACAGCTGGAATGTTTTTTTTGTATCCAAAATCTCTTCGCCACTCTCGCTTTCTTGGAAAAACAATAATTAAACATATACAGGGTGTCCGAGTGTGAGCGTACAAAAATTTACCAGGTGGTAGACCAGACCAAAATAAGATTAAAATTCTTATAAAATATGTTTCACTCTCACTGAGTTACAGGGTGTTGTTTAGAAAAAAATAATAATAGAATAGAATGGTCAGCGAAAGTTTTTTCAACAAAGTAATCAATTTCAACACGCTATTTTTCCGAGAGGAAATTCGGATAATTCGAAACGGATTTTGAAGAAGAGTAGTACTTTTATATGCCATAACTAGTTTTGCCGAGAAAATTTACCTTGTGATGTGACATAACCTCAAATATAAGAAAAAACTTTGTTTTTCGCACTTTTAGGTTAGGATATCTCTAAATGCTGATGTGATGGAGCAATTCTGAGATCGGAAAGTACATTCTGTGTAATTCATCAATCAATTTCAATAGAATAGCGCCCTTAAAATAAAAAAATTGACTAGATTTATACTTGAATCTTTCAAAATCGCACTCTTTCCAGCTTCCGGTAATCGAAATTGGTGCTGTCAGTAAGAACCCGTATCATTTCTTCCTTTCATTACTTTATGAGAACGAAAACTTCCCGGTTAAGCCCTTATATCCATACTTTAGGATTATTATCAGGTTCCTATAGCAAATACTATCGGAGTCGGCGGTATCTCACCCTCATAAATATTCCCTTTGGAGAGATCCTAATCAGGTCGTCGAAAACTACGCAGACGGCATAAATTTCGCGGGTGCTGAAAGAAATTCCGTTTAACGGAAAAGGAATTATGACGGCGGATTTGCATGGGAATGGGGAGATCAGAAGTAGGCTAAATATGGGCACCCGAACAATGGAAAAGCGGTCCGGTTTCATTCACGGCTATCTCGGATGGGATTTCGTGCCACCGAGCCGTTTCCTACCTGTTTAACATAATTATGGCCAGACACGAACGAATGGGTCCGCGATTTGTAAAACAAACCGGCGGGTAGATAAAAACGTCTGTGATTCACGCGGATACGAGTTAATTTTTGTTAGAATGTCGTGCGGCTGTTCGGATGTCACAATAGTCGTTGATTATGTCATGAGACGCTTCAAGCAATCTGCAACAGAAGCCTGGGGTCATGAGAAACGGTGCTGTGAATGCAAGTAATACAATACGTCGTTTTTATTAGTGAAGTTATATATAAAATATTATGTAAACATGAAGTACTTTTTATGGATAATTATGTGGTTACAGAACTATGACAAAGCCTGAGATTATTGACGTTGTATTCCAAGCTCAAGCTCAAATTTTCGCTCAACTCTCCAATCCTAAGCACGAAGCCACCTCAAACCAAAAAATTCACCTCGGTTTCGAATTTCGCAAAATAAAAAATTTCTCCGAAATCACAAATTCATTTATAAATAATAGTTTTATAATACATAACAAAGTTTTTCAACTCGAAAGGTTGTTAAAAATTTTTGCGAGTAGATTAGTTAATGTTGCACAATTTCCAGGCTAAGGCCACTTTGTTACTCTTAACGTTTCAAGAGACATGTCGCTGGAAATTAAGTCTCCTGGCCTGTATTTGTCTTTATTGTGAGTGCTGGCACATATCATTCCGGTGCATGATTTGCAGTCACTGAAATTGATTTTATGAGTCGTTTTCAAATGAAATTGTTTCGATTTTTCTGAATTTCTATTATTCATGGTTGCCAACTCGCTTTCAACTTTATTGAAGTCTGTAAATTATGTATTGGGGTTGTCTGTATTACATAATTACTTTTGTTCCAATATATCTTCTTAAGACAGTGGACAGAAATTAAGATTTTCTACAGCAGCAACTTGTATTGACATTTTCCCAAATGTATGAATTCTTATTAATCGGTTATGTACTTTATCATTTGAATATTTAAAAAAAATCTGCTACTATCTATTTGTATAGGTTTTGCGGTACTATAGTTAGTACTACAGATTGGTATGCTTATAACAAATTGATTCAAATTTGATGTGGTGTTAATATTTATTTACACGTGTATATTTTACTGTAAAATTTACAAATTTTTGTATGCCAGTGGCGTAGGAATGGGTAGTAAAGCGGGATTTCCACCCACCATGTCTATTGACTGCTAATACATCAACTCCTGTATTAACCAGTAACGTTGGCGATGTTCTCCGGAATTAATGGCCTGTATATGTTTCAGGATGTTCTAGCAATCTTATTAGGAATCATAGAAATAGTATTCTTGCCGACTGGTTGGTTCTAACATCTACCTGCTTGATAGCGCATAAAGAAGAGATTTATTCAGAGACCGTTATACGTGTATAGGGTGATCAGTTCGTCGTTTGGTCACAAAAATTCATAAAATAAAAATTATGAAATTAAATAGTAGCACAAATAGTATTACGGTGATTTTTTAGACGAAACGAGGTTTAGTTGTTGTTTCTGTAGGTTCTCCACTTTGGTGAGGTAGTCTATTGTGGCAAGTCTAGTCAGAAGAAGTTTGTCAATACTTGTTTGTAGCTTCGACGTCTTCTTGGGGAAAATGCGACCAAAAGAAACCACACGCCCCTAAAATTCGCTCCAGTAATAATTTCAACGAGCTATTTATTCAAAAATGTGCCCGTCCTGTTTGTTAGTGCCTCCAGTTCTAAACAACAACCTCAAAAACGAGGGGTCGGGGCGATATTCGCAGGCAGTTAAGAGATCGCGATACCAATTTTAATAATAGACCCTCCCCCGGTTTTGGAATTGTT